AAAAGGTAGTTATCTTTAAAAAATTTTTTGTTTTATAATTCGCATTCTTGTCAACATTAACAATTTAAAATTTTAAATTTCACTATTTCAGATGGTATGTACCAGCTGGACGTGTTGAACCGGGTGAAACAATTTTGGTTATTTTTTAGCTATTTTCATAGCAAGTCTAAAATTTTCATTAAAAAAATTTATTTTCGTTTTTTTGTATTTCTCAAATTAAAATTTAACTTTCTATAGTAGTAATGCTTACAAGATCTTCAATGATATTATGAAATTAAATTTTCAAATATATTTGAATCATTTAAAAAAAAAAATAAGTAGGATTTAGATACATGTATTTTTAAAAATATCCCTTTTTTGATGAAATTTTAAAATCATTTTGGATTATTTTGATCATCAATTAATAGTAATTATTTTTGAATTATTTTATTTATAAATAGTTCAAATTACAGTTTATTGTATAATTAAAATATTGCCATTAGTTTTCGAAATAATAGTTCTTTTTAAAATTACATTCTATAACAGTAACTTTTACAGATGTGGATTAAATGAGGATTTCATCTACAAAGCAATTATTGTTTTTAGGAAGGTGTCGTTCGAGAGGTATTAGAGGAGACCGGTTATAAATGTGAACCGGAAGAATTACTAAGTGTACAGGTACAGGGTTCCGGATGGTATCGATTTTCATTTTACTGTAATATTATCGGTTGGTTATTCAAAATAATATTCTTGTTCTTTTTTTCTTTTTTTGAATTTTAGAAATGAATTTTTGAAGAAAAAAAATCATACTCTATTTAAAAGTTATACTGATTATCAAATTACCAAATTGCTGAACTGGGAGAAATTATTTGGAATGATTGCTGATAAATTAATTTATTCTGGTTTACCATTTTTAATTGGCATTGAAAAATTTTACTAAATTTAATTCTTTTTTTTTTAATATCTCTTTTTGCAAAGGTTTCTAAATAGTTGAAATAAATATTATTTTTTGATATTTAGATGGTGAACGTAAGGTAATTGCTGATAATGAATCATTAGGCGCTAATTGGTTTCCTATCGATGAAGTCAAGGCAAAAAAGTTAGATTTAAGGTATGTTATCAAGTTCTGATACAATTACATTTCATATTACATCTTAAAATAAGCATTAATTCCCTTCAGTGAGATATTAATGATTGTGCATATTATAATAAATAAAATATATAAATAAAAAATAAACAAGTAAATAAGTAAATGAGTATACGAGGTATGCATAATTATTTACGAAATGAATTAATCAAATTAAAATAATTCTTAGGTCATCTGATTTCTTGAAAATCGTCGAAGAAGCAGAGGAATATCGGCAAAAAAGAAACCAATTTGTTAATAAATTATCGCAATTTTTACCAATTCCCATTTCAACTGATGGATTATTTATCGAATTTGCAATTTTACGAACAGTAAAGTAAGTTGGAGAAGAGAAATATTTTTTTTAGTTTTGAATTTTTTGATTAATTTTGTTATATCAGTTTATCAGTTAAAGACGGATAATCTATATATATATATTTTCAAAAAAAAAAAAG